AAAATATTTTATAACCTGGCCACCTGTTTTGAGGAGAATACTTGCCCCATCCTGAGACTGTGAAAGAAACTGTCAAATGATGAACAATCCAACTTCCTCCATTACTGATTAATAAACTTCCTTTGGGCTAGTTAGATTCACTGACAGTTGTTCCCACAGGTTGTTGTTGTGCCAGTGGTGGTAAGTTCTGCTTGTACTGATGGTACATTTACCTGTTCTGGTCACTTTCCCTCTGCTGCAGGTATGGGTTTCACTGGGACAAGGGGGGATGGTTTTGCTGAAACTGATCTTTGTGAAGGGGCTAAGATGTGTGTGGATACTGTTGTAGGGCTTGGAATGCAATATTCTTGATGCTGAGGTAGTTGGTGAAGTTTTACTGTGTGTTTACAAGTAGGACATTGAAAATCTAACTCTGAAAGTATAGTGGGAAGAACAAAAGGGGCTGGCTCAATGAACTCGTTAAGATTTAAAATGACAGTTCGGCACACCAGGCAAAGGGATCCACACATTTCAAAAGAAAGTGACAAACAACTAGCAAAAAATATGTGTGGAGTTGGGCATTTTGTCTGGACTGGTTGATCAAGTACCTCTTTGCAAATTGGGCACCTATACTCATGCTTGATGTTTTCAACAAACTGTTCTTAGTAAAGAGGTTCTGATCCTCTAAAGCTTTTTTTGATTCTTTACCTCCTCAGAGAATGAGAGTGTGGCTGGGTCAGGTTGGAAGCTTAAAGTGCCAGACATTCCTTCCACCATTTCCACTTGTTCCTTGGGTCCAGTTGAGTCCTCTCTGGGTTTTATTCCAGGCTTAATCTTTTTCCCACCAGATTTCCGTTGATCTTTAGAGAAACTGCAGATCTTACAGTTGCCACTGCATTTGTGTGGAGGCCACACATTGATTGCAAGGCATGTGCCTCCTCTTAAAACAAGCTTGTAGCACTTGTGGCAGAACAAGGGAGGGCACATGTCAAGGTCATCTTTATGAACTTTGACACCAAAGGCTATGAAAATAATCTCCATCTTACCAGTGCAAAGAAAACTGTTCTCATACTTATCTTTTGCCTTCTTCAATTGCTCTCCACAAATTCAGCAAAATTTTTCCAATATTTGTTGATGTTCAGAAAGGCCAAAGTTATCCATCTGAATGTACTAATCGAACCAAGTTCTAAACTAAACTTGGATTAAGCAACACAGTTCTAAATTGACTTAAGATATGTTCCAAAATTCCTTTTTCTGACCTTTTATTGCTTCAGAAGGGTACACCCTTAGGGTTTGTACCTTGTTTCAGGAAGGGGTGTCTATTTATTTCTCTCGATCAGTTCTTCAGGGTGCGGGAATATTCGCATTCTTGTGTTATTGTGTGTAGTTTGTTCCATTTGAAGGGGAAGGGAATATTCGCTAAAAACCATATTGATCATGGCCAAGAACAATGATTTAACTATCAGATCAAAGCACAAACAGTAATATATAATTGGAGGGTTTTCTTATCCCTGATTGTGATAGGTGCAAAGAAATCTTCAGCTTCTGAATGGAATGTCTGAAAGGATGAGAAAATATGAATTAAAACCAGTCAAACTTTTAGGCTGTTAAAATGTAAATTACTAAGTAAAGATTGCTAGCCAGTTCCACCACTAACCCCTACTGGTTAAAGAATCAATTATTTCCAAATAAAAACTTTATTGGTGAGAACCAAAGACATATGCACTTGGCAACTTTATTTTTCAACAAGCATTCTGTAACAATCTGATGGTCTGATGAGACTCTTATTACAGGAAATAAAAAAGAACTTGTACAACTGATAGTATCTTTGAGAATGAAAGTCAAACTTGTTTCCTTAGGCTGTATCCCCAAGGAACAAGACTGAATAAAATTAGATGACTTAACCAAAATAACGAGGAGAGTTTTGTTAACCTTGCTATGATATCATACATTGTGGCAGAAGTCGTCATGAAACTTGTTCTTGAGAACTACCATGAGGCTTTTACATCTTGAACCCCTAATTATTTATGTAATGGATTGGCCAGTGTGCCAATGAGCCAGTTTGTGAGTAAATGAAGGAACTAGTTTGTCAGTAAGGTGGTCTGTCAGACAGCCAGCCAGTCTGTCATTTACAGTTCTCTGGTAGGTTGGTCAGTCTGTCAGTTAATTTGTTGGTTAGTCATTTATTCAATAACTCAGTCATTCTGTCAGTTAACAACTGCATTCTTCTGTAAGACAGCTAGTTACTCAACCAGACTCCACTCTCACTTCTATCACTTTGTCAAAAGGACACAAGTTAGTTACTGGGTACGAAACAAAGCTGTTGCTTTGCATTGGAAAGAAAAATTGAGTCATGTGACTGGGAGTGACTCCCAGTATCCTAACTTGAACCCAGCTCAGTATGTGAGGACCTTATTTCTTGCCATTATTTCTGGAGCAACTACGTTGAGGAGCATAATACTTCCTTTATCATTGGCAAATTAATTATGCGCATGTTATAACTGAGTGCATCTTATAACTGATCAAATACGGTACATTGTTTTCTCTGTCTCATTTCTCATATGCGTCTATAGTTATGCTAATTTCCATTGGCCATGAAGTAATTTTCATGCACTGTTGATTTCATTGCACTTAAAAAAAACCACTGGATTTCTGGCATATACAGTTAATAGTCAGAGGTCATTTCAAGTTATGTCACAAAACCAAAACCAAAGATATCACAGCAGTCAATCAGAACCAAGGAAAATATCACAAGGAGCAAATGAGAATTTTAAGCTAAAGCAAGTAAATTGCTTGAAGCTGGGAAAACACAAGTGATCCTATCTCTATTGGTTTGATTGTGAATCTGATTTTTTTAAGAAAGTGGCCCAATTTTTTCTGGTCCAATCACTCAAGGTAAAACAGAATCACAGCCAACTGGAATAACTTTTGATATTCATGGAAAATTACACTGAAGGTAGTCGAGCTGTGGAGCAGATTTTGTTGTGAATGCAGGATAATGAAGAAAATGCAGCATTAGAGAACAAGCAGTATTACAGAATATGCAGTGTTATGGAACATGAAGTATTACAGAACATGCAGTGTTACAGAACATGCAGTATTACAGAACATGCAGTGTTACAGAACATTCAGTGTTACAGAAAATGCAGTATTACAGAACATGCAGCATTACAGAACATGAAGTATAACAGAACATGCAGTATTACAGAACAAGCAGTATTACATAACATGCAGTATAACAGAACGTGCAGTATTACTGAACATGCAGCATTACAGAACATGAAGTATAACAGAACATGCAGTATTACAGAACAAGCAGTATTACAGAACATGCAGTGTTACAGAAAATGCAGTATAACAGAACATACAGTATTACAGAACATGCAGTATTACAGAACAAGCAGTATTACAGCACATGCAGTGTTACAGAACATGCAGTATTACAGAACATGCTGTATTACAGCACATGCAGTGTTACAGAACATGCAGTGTTACAGAACATGCGGTATTACAGAACATGCAGTATAACAGAACATGCAGTATAACAGGACATGCAGTATTATAGAACAAGCAATATTACAGAACATGCAGTATTACAGAACATGCAGTATTACAAAACATGCAGTATTACAGCACATGCAGTATTACAGAACATGCAGTATTACAGAACATGCAGTATTACAGAACATGCAGTGTTACAGAACATGCAGTATTACAGAACATGCAGTATTACAGAACTGCAGCATTACAGAACATGCAGTATAACAACATGCAGTATTACTGAACATGCAGCATTATAGAACATGAAGTATAACAGAACATGCAGTATTACAGAACAAGCAGTATTACAGAACATGCAGTGTTACAGAACATGCAGTATAACAGAACATGCAGTGTTACAGAACATGCAGTGTTACAGAACATGCAGTATTACAGAACATGCTGTATTACAGTACATGCAGTGTTACAGAACATGCAGTATTACAAAACATGCAGTATTACAAAACATGCAGTATTACAGAACATGCAGTATAACAGAACATGCAGCATTACAGAACATGCAGTGTTACAGCACATGCAGTGTTACAGACCATGCAGTATTACAAAACATGCAGTGTTATGGAACATGCAGTATTACAGAACATGCAGTATTACGGAAGAACAGCAAGAGAAGTACATACTCGAACTGCTTGTTTGTTACTTTCAAATTAATTAAAAAGCACTTAACCCTCAACACCCTACCATCAGTATGCATATTCTCTATACTTTTCCATAGACATATCCTGAGGTGCTGACAAGGAGAATAACAATCAAACTGTATTCTCATGCCCCTAACGTGTGATTCAGGAGTGATATTATAGGAATAAATTAGACACTAGTCAATTTTAGGAGTCGAACAGTTAAGAGAAATCCACAGACTGAGACAGCAGCCTCATGCCAAACTACTGTATTCGTAGTTGTTCTTAATGTTCTAACCAAGAAATGTTTAAGTTCTTATTTTTTTGCGGCCTATTTAAAAATAGCAGGTAATTTAGTGTTAACAACTGAGTTGAAAACGTAAATTAGCCACCGTAAAGGGTAAAAAATAAAAAAATAATAATTTAAAAATAATTTACGATGTGGAGTTTGCAAGTCTATAATTATCTTTCACAGCTTTGGTGCATCTGTGAAGTTAGAAGAACGTCTAGGTACTAAGCAGACTCCTATGTATCTATAAGCTTGCTATTTCTGATATGAAGTACAAGTCTTACCTGGTTCTGTGAGATGTAAGCAAAATGGTCATCGCAGATCAATGATAACAAATCTTCCTGATCCAACTATCAGTAAACCTCTGCATCTCATCCTTGAAGAGGCTTTCAAAAAGTGCATTGAATCATCTTAAGTCTATCGAAAACTAAGAAAATTCTTTCAAACGCAATAGATAAAGAATAACCCTTGGTGAAACGAGGAAAACATTTAATTTTCCAAAAATCCCGTTCCTCACGTGCGACAAACCTTTGTTCCCAGGCGCCCCCTAATTTTCAAAAAAACCGCCATCTGAAAACCGAAAGCCCCTGGGAACGAAATTGTGGCCGTCAACCTTTTTCACCCTAATATCACTATGTACATTCTCCGTACTGTTCTTTATACATTTGATATAGCATTTGATTCACGGGTAATATTGTAGGGAGAAATAGATGCTAGTCACTCTGAGGGTTTAAAGTGTTAAGTTAACCTCCAAAGCCTGAAGGACGATAACCATTTCCCTCTGTGTTCTCAGACATGACAATAATATTTTGTAGCTGAAATTGATTTAATCCGAGGAATCACATCCAGGTGAAAATGTCTACCGTGTTTACTTCAAACCGCATCGCGAGACCAAATATGCTTTACCTGGATAAGGGATTAAATGAACAATAACCTATAGTTCGATATAGCCGTTGCGGAAAAGTGCTTCAATATTTGCCTGTGATTATCATTTTTTCCCGTTAAGGATATTCTTCAGAAAGCGAATACTCGGTCACGTGGCGCGTTTAAACCAATCTTACAACACCTTCTCCTTCGTTGAACATGAACCAGTAATTTTTATGAAGATGGAATGGAGCGCTAGAAATGGAAACAAATTCTCGAGAAATAATTCCCATCTGCCAACCATCCCAAGATTTGATGCTTGCTGTTGCTGTCTAAATTCTAATTAGGGGGGAGGTTTTTCTCCCAGTCGTTGCACTGTATCTCTGGCAACGTTCCACCTTGGTAACAAGTTAATCTACTAAAGAACACTGACATTGAATATTGAGTGACGAGTGAAAAATCGGACAGTGTGGAGTGTTGTAACGGAGTACTGAAAGCAATTTGACACGAAGATATAGCTGCATAACGAAAGAATCTTAAAATGACCCATCCTGCGACTTTGACGTATGTCGGAAAGAATCAGCCGTCTAGGGAAAAATCAATTGCTCAAAGTCTCTAATACCAAGGTCATAACAGTTAAATTCTAATATTCCTTTTTTAAAGTCGGGTAGAATAAAAAAAATTAAATCAAAATTTAAAAAATGATAGACAAATGACACCACACAATGAAACATTCGTTTTCTTACCACTCGAGACAGGTGTCCCACTGTTTATTTAAGTTTTGTTAAGGTACACATTGTACCAGCCTATTCTACTGCGATTAAAAACCAAAAGAAAATTAAAAACCGGATTATGAAATTATTGCATATGAAAAAATTATACACGAGTAAGTACTTACGCACAAAAATACAGAAAAGAACGTTAAAAAACACGTCTTGCAGTTGAATAAAACAATAAAAATAATTATTCCTCGTTAATTAAATTTAAAACAAACATCTGGGAGGCATTCGTGATCCCGACAAAGACAAGGTCCACTGTTTTTCTCAGCGTTTACCCTCAAATGAAAATAACCTCTTCATTCCCCATCGCCATCACTGTTGTTAGCAATTCTACAATATTGTCTGGGTGTACATCCAGTTTTAAAAGTTCCATAATGTGCTCTAACACTTTCCTGTCCATTTTAACATTCGTCGTCCCTAAAAACTGGAACAGGTCATCAAAATACGCCGCCCTTTCCTTCGTTTGTGATTTTCCATCTTCCGTCGTAAGGCTCGACAAGGATTCTTTCAAGCCTTCAGCTTCAGCCTTTAGTTCTGTGATGTCTTTGGACCGGCGTTTTTTCTGCGTGGAAAGTTCATTTTCAGCGAACGATCCGGTCGCGGAGCTCATATGTTCATCGTTTTTCTCAGCTGATTTCATCTGTAATAATGATCGTAACCGGCAAATATAATTTTTGTACGACTCTGTCGGTTTTTCTGAAACTTTCTCGATGCGTTCAGCGACTGTTTTTCATTACACTGCTGTAAAAAAAAAGCTTGTCGAGATGTAGTTCCAGTCGGTCTTTTCATAAATAAGAAAATCTTCCTCCAACCTCCGCTACAAATCAGCAATTCATGCACATAACCGGGTTTTAATTTGAATTTAAAACGATTTTGCTCGCACATGTAATAATAGCCTCCCAATAGCTTGGCAACCAAAAATTAAGACCGACATGCATCTTTAATGATATAACGGATTAACTAGGCGGATATTTTACGGGTTGCAAGATTTCTTGGCTTTTTGGTGACTGTTTCTCTAGCTTATGCTTTATTTGGCTTAAAAAACCTGTAAATCACGTCAATAAGCCCAAAAGGACCCAGGAGGAAGGCGATGGAAATTGTGTGATAGAAAAGTGTACAAAACCGTCAGGCAACTTTTTGTAGCTGCACGGAGAGCGATCCACTCTCTTAAACGTAGAGGTGTTTCTCTTCAATTTATCACCATTACTATCTTAATTATTGCGTTTTTATCAATGCAAGGTGCAATTGTGGAGTGTTTTTCGGCTTTTTATCGTGGTTTACAAGCCACTGCTCTACGGCTAAACTGAAAGCACCAAATACAGCACAAAATTATTTTCTTCTATGAAGTAAACAAGGTTTAACAACTTTTTTTGGTTTTTTGGTTTTTTTTCAACAACTTCTTTTCGTCGCTTTTCATACATAAATATTACATTATATATTTATATATAAAAGACTAGTCTATCAAAGTCATTTCATTAAAAAAGCAATCCCGTGAAAGATCTAGATTATTTAATATAGCCGTGCTCACATCATTGGCATAGATAGTGATTCAAAAAGTCACCATTTCAAAGCACAATCTCGGCCACTTTCACAATCTGTTTACCAATGTTCCCACCTCGCATCATTTCAACAAAAAGGCCTTCCCAGTGTTCTCCAGGCCCTCCACGATCGTCTCACGATTCTTTAACTTTCCCTCTCGCACCCAGGACTCCAGTTGTTTTTTTCCATCCGGGAGCTTTTCCATGTAATTCAACACCAGGAAACGGTCACGTTTTATTTTCCTAGTTTGCAGTATGTCTTGTATGTCCTGGGGTAGTGGGGGTGGATAAGGAACATCTTTGTTGTAAACTGAAATCTGCCCACATAATACTATGTGACTGTCCTTATTCATGCAGCGAATAACCTAGAACAAACAAAAAGTGAAAAGTATGCTTCATTGGAAACTTTCTTTTGTAACACTTGTGTTCAGGGAACACCTTCATTCAAAGATTTTTGAAACAAAGCTCGGTCTCCACTAAGGAAAACATTTCTAATCTGAAAAATATTTATTACCTACACAAGAGAGCCAACTCTTTCCAAGAGGAGGCACTTTTTAGACTTCCAAGGGACTTTTCAAAATGAAGAGCCTATTGTTTTTCACACAAGAACGTACTTGAATTGTGGCCATTTCTTAGTAATGCACCTATCAATTCAAAGCTTTAACATCCCTTCCCCCTCCCCCACCTCCACATTAATAGCATTTGACTGTCATTCATGTCTGGCAGTTGGGGAAGTTGAACCTTGCCTAATTGAGGTGGGGAACTTGTACTGGGAGTGTCAAGTCTTTCCAGTGGAATATAAGTGTTATATCTAGTAATATGGAGGTGTTAAATGTAAATAGTTTACTTTCGTGAACAAGTGGCTTGGAAGAAAAGATGTACAAGGTCTCAGTTTTAAAGCTTGGTCAATGTGTAGAGAGTCACAGTTGCTGACTTTGCCTTCAAGTTTTACAAAAAAAAATTGGGTGGGGCATTTGAACATGATTTTGCTCAGGAGACAGGAGTTTAAACAAACCAATCTACAAAAGTTCCATTACTTAGGAGGTTACCCAGGGGTAGGAGGGGGAATGTTGAAGCTTCAAATTGATTGATGCATAAGTGTCCTTCGCAGCCAAATTTTAATAAATCAGAGCTGTTTTCTTTAGTGCAAGCCAATACCAATGACTTACTTTGAGACAAATTTTTTGTGGTCAATTTGATTTTTAAAATCTTCACTTCAAAACATCTTATATTTTTTATTTGCTAGGTACATCTTTAAAGTAGGTGTTTAAGCTCTGTTGATATTAACTGAAGTTATAATCTCACTGCAATTTTTAATAAACATAATATAAAATATCATATTGAATAAACAAATATAATTTAAGCCACTTGAGAACATTTAGTAATCATTTTTTACATTAGAAATACAAACTCACCTCATCGCTTATTTCCCTCCAACATTGTCAAAGTAAACATCAATTCCTGCTGGACATTTCATTTTCAAGTGTTCACTAATGTTCTCTGTTGTCTTGTAATTAATTGCCACATCAAAGCCCATCTCTTCTGTCAAGAAGCAGCACTTCTCATCAGTACCACATATCCCAACAACAACACCACAGCCTTCTAGCTTTGCAATCTGAGAAAATAGCAATTACATAACTGTATTACTTCCTTGTGTTGTAGACTTGGGTTAGTGGTGTAAAGGGTAACATGTTCACTGATCAAAGAGCCTCATTCACAGTATCAAAGGGTCATTGAAACTAAAAAATAAACAACTCAGTCAATGACTAGCAACCAAAATTGTCATCTTTATTAAGAGGAAAAGAACTGCATTTAGAAGGACATTGCAAATTGCCTGGTGGTGAGATTGATCACCAACTAATCTTGTAAGAACTGAAGAAAACAAATCCTGAATAAAGGTCAGAAAAGCATAAACTACACCAAAATCTTGATAAGAGATACTCATTAAGAGGTGTTTACTCTTTGGAATCTCAAACTGTGGTTTTGATACATACTTTTTCAGAGTGAAGATAAAAGTAACAAAGTTACCAAAGCAACCTTCTCCTTTTTAAAAGCAATGAGAGGATGGTAATAATTATCTTCCTCTAAGCAATTATCATATGAGTCAGATGTAAAAGATACAATTGACACTAACACCCTTAAAATATAAATGAATGCTTCTGCAGAAAAACAGAAACTTTTTCCAGTCTCAAAGGTAATTTCTCATATGGACAAAAAGGGTAAGCTTTTAAAGAAACTGTGGTGCTGTATCAGTGAGAGAGTATAACAGGGTAATTTAGTGTTGTCAGCTAAGTTGATAAAATGTAAATTGGCCTCTGTAAAGAGTTTTAAAACTGACATTTTGAGTATTAGACCTTCTGCAGAGTGAATGAGGAAGGACTAATGATAGAAACATCAGCTTTGAAACTCTTTATCATGGCCAATTTACATTATCAACTCAGTTGATTGTACTAAACTGGTAATTTTTTATAGTTTGATCACAGCATGCTTCTGTGACTATCAACTATCTGTAACACAAAAATCACTGTTCACCCCAGGAGTGTCTGCCATGACATCATTTCACTGTGCTTTGTGTAGTACTATACTAAAGAAAACTAAAGATATTTTTTTCAGACAGCTGTTTCTCAAATGGTGATCCATTTCTCACCTGTCCTGCAGCCATCCCACAAGCCCCAGCAGCACCACTGATTACAACAACTTGATTGGCACCAGGCTATATGTGTGCTTTTTCTTTTAAGCCAATATAAGATGTCAGTCCAGTCAAACCCACAATCCCCAGTAACAGAGATGATTTAGCACAAAGGAATGGGCTTTCTTCCTAAATAGTTAGTAATAACACATCAAAGCTAGTTCTCAATAAAAATAACAAAAAGTACCAGAAATAAGTAAGAAGATTTTTTAGCATTATTCACATCAATATTAGGAAGTGTACCTTTTATTGATAAAGTGCTTGAACCTCAATGCAGTAAAAAGTGAACCCTTTCAATTTATAATTAATATGTATCTCTCTAATATTTCTCATTAACTGTTTAAAGTCCTTTTGCCTTAGTGCAGTCATAGTGCAACTGGTTCTCAAGAACATTTGAAGATAAAGGATAAAATTGATAGTAAGCAGAAAATTAAGATAGGTTATGGGCCAAGAAGAGGAGGGGAGTTAACTTGGGGGCCAGTCTTCATGTTCACAGTGAACTCTTAATTTCCATCAAATTAATACATGTGTGGTTAGACATACTTACCATCAAAATAAAAATTAAAAATAAAAAAAAAATTCAAACGTATTTGACTAAGCGGAAGTTGGCTGTTATACCCTCTACTTCAAATTCACGACAGATGACCTCAATTTATTAACCAATATACCTTTTGCAATGTGGGGTCTCCAGAGACAGGAAAAACTGAAAATTCTTGCCATGGCCATCCACCCGACTGCACAATATCCCCTTCGTGAAATTTCTCGCTTCTGCTATGAATCACCTGACCCACACCTCCTCCACTTGGCGCCTCTCAATGGACCACGGTGTCAAATAGTTCGATCCAGAATCCTCATTCATTCTGCATCTCATATAAGGATCAACAGATAAATACAATGTCTTCACTAAGATTTCGCCCTCTTTGCATTCTGGAATTTTTCTTCTTTCCAGTGCGAAGTTCGATTCGGATGGTGGTTTGTCTACTCCTGGGCGACTGTGAAGAACGACAACATTTTGAGTTTCTGCCGCCATCTTAGCTTGATGGCCCGCAAGGGCATGGGGAGAGATCTTACCGAATTACAATTTGCTTTCTCAATAGGATATTCCTTGATATTACAAAAAAATGTCATATTTTAGTAAAGATCCTACTTTACTTCAAAAAATTTCCCCTTTTTTTTGCAGGCGTTACACATGTCAAATTTTTTCCGCTTATATTTTTCTAATGTCTGTTCTGAGTTTTTCCTTCTTTCTTGATTCAAGAATCAACTTGTTATTTGCTATTTGCCCATGTGATAACTGAATTGCCTTTTTTTTTCACCAAACTGTCTTGAAGGCCTTTGAAGTTTTTTATTCTTTCGACAGCTAACCATTCGATTTTATCATATATGGCTCCTGCTTTCGAAATTCTCTTCAAAGTCGCACACTGCATGACGGATTCATTTTCACCTTAAATTGACTAATAGTCAACTCCACTTATTCTTCAATCGATCAATCGCGTGCTTATCAAAGCGTGGTGATTCTTTTGAACTTCATATCATGACAATCACGATTTACTCGCGAACAAAACCAAAATTAAATCTGTCCCCGAGTAGTATAGAATCAATTAATTTTTTTCCCGGACACCTATTGAGTCTCAACCTGAATGACCTTTTTAATATTATTTAGAAATATGTTAACCCAGGCCAACGTCTCTGACAAGAATTTTAAAAATCATTATCCAAAATCTTTTGTTAAAATTCATACGCCAGCTCGGTATATCTTTTCAAGTTGAGCTTAATGTGTTCTGTCCATTAATATTTTATATCCAAAGCTCGTCGCCAGAATTCAGCCGTTTATCTTTAAACATCTTCCGTTGGGAATCATTAATATGGAAACATTTGCGCCTGTGGTTTTAACTATGACAGTTATCGCTTCACGCGCGAGAAAAGAATTACCTTCCCTTAAATCGTACGCTGCAATCAGGAAAAAAGGAAAAAAATCAAATCGATCTGTGTCGTCAGTGAGCGGAAAATAAATCTTCTTTATCTGGATTAAACAAATTTTAAATCTACCTCTTGCAACTACGATGCCTTTTTAGCTAGAAGAAAGAGCGATTAAATAGGCGGCAAATAAATCCGATACGAGCCGCTCACGGAATCTAACTCCTTAATTTACACCGTTGGCTGATTGACTTCGCCTCAAGTAAAATTTTTCTTAACCAAATTAAGGGTGTTCAACTTCCGACACTAAGTTCTAATTAGGTCCAGAGAGAAACAACAGAACCATATGATCTACACAGTTACGAATAATTGTGCCTTTTGGAAAAGCGAACGATTATCAAACACACTTATAGCTCATTTGGCTCCATGATTCATGTTGATGCATTAAGCTCCGTGGAATTTTTTTCCTGGTCAAGAAATTCCCCAAAAAATGACAATTTCCTACATATTTGCGATTTCAGTGTGAACAAAAACGTTTATATAAAAAATTTACATCTCTACCGAAGGCTCTAGAGTTCAGAACAAATCAGAAAAGCTTGGAAATCATATCGAGGAATCAAATATGTCAAAAATCGCGTGAGGTTAACAACTGTATTTTCGTTCCGCCCTCAAAATCTCTTCAATCTCTCTTCAAAGCTCATTCACACTTTGGAAATAACACTTGCTTTTAGCGCGCGCTGTATCAAAAAAACAGCGCAGCGTTTATCTCATCTTTAGAGCGCTGCGATAGCAGAGCACTTTGAACTTAAAACATCGGCATTTTAGCCGTGTTTCCGACTTGATGTCTTCCGCTCCTAAGAAGCTCGCGTTGGTTTTGTTATCTACAATTATTGCCTGCAGCGTGTGGACTTTGCTTTAAATGACGGCTCAGAGATTGCGCATTCATTCCGGCAGCAAGACGAACGAAGGCAGCTTGACTTTGAAATCAGCCATGGCTTGCCCTCCATATCCACCCGAAGTATCCTATGCGCCTTTTCAGCAAATGGTTCGCGAGACGCCCATTTCAATGATGCCTTCGCATCCCACTTCTCTACCGCCAGTAACTCACTGCAGTAAGATGGACCCGCGAGCGAATATCCACGTGGCATCTCCATTTATGCTAAACCCTATGGCTAATTTTGACAGCGATCCCAGTATGTCAGCACCACATCACGGCTTGGGTTTTGCCATTGACACTTCAAAACTGCGCGAATTGGAGGAGTTCGCGACTCAGTTCAAACTCCGCCGCATCAAGCTGGGTTTTACACAGACGAACGTTGGCGCAGCATTGGCAACAGTCCACGGAACAGATTTTAGCCAAACCACCATCTGCCGCTTCGAGAATCTGCAACTAAGCTTTAAGAACGCTTGTAAGCTGAAGCCGATTCTGGCGCGCTGGCTTTGAAGAGGCTGAATGTTCTGGAGGGGCGTGTGGTGATAAATTCAACGCTGAACGCCGTAGAAAAAGACGAACCACTATCGGTCTGACTGCTAAGGAACATCTTGAAGATCATTTTCTTAAACAACCAAAACCATCTTCCCAAGAAATCGTTCGCATTGCCGAGGGATTGCGCCTGGATAGGGAGGTTGTGCGAGTGTGGTTCTGTAACAGACGGCAACGGGAGAAAAGAGTAAAGACGTCACTGAGTATTCACGGCTTCCTTGGTTGTAAAAACGATTGACTAGTGTAAGAACATAAACAAGATTGAAGCAACTACGAGTAAATTACTTAAACTTCCTCCGTGGTTAGGCAGGTTATCGTTGTTTGTTTGAACTACTGCAAACTTAATGTTGTGTATTTGAATACTTTAAAAGAACTCGTGGCTGTACATAACTGAATGAGCGATAAAGGCGAAATAACACGGTGTAGCCTCCTTATTTTTAAAGACAATTCATTACGAGTTAACATTTCTTTATTTGTTATAAAAATGGTTACAAAACTCATGGAAAACTAGAGTTTTCTATGCATAATGTACAGAAGAGGCGTCTTTTCTTAGACCAGAAAGAGCACCTTATCATTTAACTTGTTTATAAGCTCAGTATATTATTAAAATGAATTAAATTGAAACAGTTTGCGCGCTCGGAATGACTCCCCAGGCTAGTAAAGTTGTCCCTAAAAGTGTTTATCTTTACATGTATTCAGAAATGAAACGTAAACTAAATCGCGCAGTAGTTAAGTTTTAATTGCGCGATGCAAATATAAGGCGAGTCATGCTTGATCAAACCAAGCGATTTATATAATGGAAGCATGTATGATCGAGATCGAAATAAAACGTGTTCATTATTTGAAATTAAGTGAAGGTTAATGGAAAGTTGTTTTGGTTTCCTTCAGAAGCTAATCTGCTTCTAGAGACATCTAACCCATACGAATTCTTTACAGTAACCGAAATAAGACTGTTTACAAGAAACACAAATGAAATAACTGTTGTTTTTCATCATTAGCCATAGAACAAATTGGACCGTTTCAATCTGCCCTTTGTCTGGAATAGTTCTTCAAGAAGAAAAGCGACTGCTTTTCACAGTAATTTATCGAAGAGGAGATTGGCCTATCATCTTGGCCGCGCAACCTTAAAATTATTTATGTTTTCAGAACTCTCTAATCAGCTCTGAATCTCTTGTTCTGATACGTGTCAAAAAAACATCCGCGAACTCAAAAAGGAACCATTAAAGTGTCAGACTCGCAGTGTAAACATTGTATTGTAAATTTAGTAGAGGTTCATACATTTGAATGAAGGTCTATAATGTGGGTAATTAAGGTGTGGACCTGGGTACCGAAAGAAATGTCGGCTTGCTAGCTGAGCTTCTTTAAACAGGAGGCTGTCAAACTTGTGGGATGTCGCTGAAAAATATTATACAAGATGTTGTGAAATAGCAAGTTGAAAAACAGAATGTGCACAAAGACGCCAATAAAAGGCTGCCTGAAAAAGAAGAAAAAAGTATGTAACCATTTATGGCGCTTTAAGATTGAGTCACATGAAATTTACGGCCGTTTGACTAATTTTTCGTTTCTCAGCCTTGCTCACGAAGAGGCCAATGCCAATGCGTCGATCAATTCGAAGCTTTAACATCCCCTCTCTTCGGGCAACTCCTTTCCCTGGGCATTTGAACTTTTAATATTGGTTCGTTCAAATTTCCGTCC